CTGGAGGTACTTCTGAATGGTCTCTATCCACATTAGCAGAAAGGCAGTTTCCAGGTAGGGTGGGTCTGTTCCTTTGTATTTCAGTCACCAGAAGTATACCAACATATCCGTGGAAGTGTGTAATAGGTTCGGCTTTTATCTCTCCCACCTCGGCTTCCACTCCCTCGGAACGAGTAGGGCGGGAGCAGGAGGTGGCATTCGTCATTTGTGATATGATGAACGGGTTAGAGTGGTGAGAACTGAGCCCATTCACAGAGAGCACACTCCTCCCTCAATGGCAGGTGACGACGCTTCTCTAACGAGATTCGTGTTTCCTGATCGCTTCTCGCCCAAATACGAGACCCATTCAACTGAGTATATATATGGCAAATGTGCCGACGTACGGAAGTAGCTTGAGATGTAACCGCATCTCGGGATGACACGGTTTACAATCTGGTCGAAGTAGTCTGCAGTACTGTGCGTGTCTCTGCGCCTCCGCCTCCTCGCAGCAGTACCAAACACAACAACAATGGCGATGACGTCTCTTTGATGTCGCTCCCACCAGTGATGTGACCTCCAGCTTGCGTTCCTCCACCGATAATCCTTGATCCACATCAGAGTCTACATTGTCGTGGTAATGACGTTCGTCCTCGCAACTATCGCATTCAAAGGCCCCAATGATGCCCGAATTGGCGTTGCTCGCTTCTCTTCTCTCCCATCTCTCTGCTCAGTGTTGCGCATTCCTCAAGGATCTCAATTATCACTTGTGTAAATTTTGTCCTGATTGTGACAGAAATTACCCGGATGCAAATGCAGCGTTGGACAGACACCGCAGACGGTAGTGCCCATTCAAGAATCGAGTGCATCGACGTGAGCAAGAGGCAGTTGAGGTGATTTTGGCATTGACGGTGGAGGGAAATTTCAATGTGCAGTGCTTGCTCAGAAGTGGCAAGTCCGACTACACGAGGAGGTGGCCCCTTGGTGTGTAAATCGTGATTGTAAATTAGGGAATGACCTTGACTGTCGCTCATGATGAGATAGGTCAAATTGTCTACTCAGCGCCCTTGTCCTCCCCTTCCTGTTTCTCTTCCCCCATCCACTTCTCATACACAGACTAGCTGGTTATCAGCACCAAAGAAAAAAGGCTCAACTATCAAGGTTTGGTAGCCCTTTAGCAGGTCCCCAAATAGAGTGAGACCTCAGAAAAATTCTGCTCTTTCCCATCTCCTCTGTACATC